GTGAAAAACGGGCTGTTTTTCGGAGGTTTGCAGAGTGCAAAAACTTTTTTTTTCCTTTTAGAAAGCTCTTTAACTGATGAGAATCACATTGTTCAAGTGCTACGCCAGCAGAAACAAAGTCTTAAGGTTTGTCAGTGATTTCCTTCTCCAGCACATGGATAAATACACCTGGACACATCTACCTACACACACACACACTCTCTCTCTCTCTCTCTCCCTCCCTACCTATTGTATTTATATATCTCTACTTTTCTCTCTCTCTTTATCTATCTACCTACCTATTGTTTTTCTCTTTCTTTCTCTCCCTCTCTATCTTTCTTTCTACCTACCTACTTTTTTTAAAATTTGCCTCTTCAAAACCTTGCTGCGTCTTATACTCCGAAAAATGCGGTAAATTCCCCCAGCAAGCCTTTCCTTGAAAAGAAAAAAAGATTCTACAAATGATAAAAAATAAAATCTGGTCTAGCAGAGAAGTAAATGTTCCTCATTAATCCATGGCCATGGAATAAAATTCCATAGTAGTAACATACCACTTATCACTTTTTGACTTGAAATTTCTTCCATTTGTCATCCCCTCTTAATTTATTACTCTTAGTTCCCCATGAAAACAAGTCTGGCTCAATTCTGCAAAGAAAAGAAAGTGCTTAGAAGTGATAGGTTTGCTTCTAAGAAAGTGGTGGCTTCTGTATTCTACAGACTAGCTAGAATTGTGACAATCACTCTAACTAGGAAAGCAGAAAGCTCTCCAAGCTTGCTAAGATTCAATGTAAAAACATTTCTTAGTGGAGCGTGTGGTATTAATGATGTGATGCCAGTTTTTCCACAGATCGCCGCATAATCTTTCCAGTGTTCACAATTTCCTTCTCTTCTGCAAAACCTCCCAAAAACATAACAGGCGATCATAATCCCACATTATACTTGCAAGCGAGTCAAATTAAAATTAGAGTTTCCTTACTTTCACTGAAATACTCAGATTGCACCCTGCTTCCTGTGATTTCTTTGTGCTCACCTGCAGAAAGGACTCTAGTTTTTGTGGGGCTGTGGCCGTCCTTGGGGGCGGCTGTCACTCTATAACCAGTCACTGGAGAAGAAGAAGGCTGCCACTTCACAGTCAGGCTGTTGTCTTGGACATCGGTAACTTGCAGCTGCGATGGTGTATCAACCTCTGCAAATGAAAATTTAACTTTCGATGTTAAATATTGTCCTTCAGGCTCCAATGTTTTTAAATCCTAACATCATGTTGTTGTTACCACCACCACCACCACCACCATTACCACCAGCACCAGTCATGATGCCTCTTGGCAAAGCACAAAAAACAGATTAAGAATCACAATTTCAATATAAAAAGAATCAGTAAAGCACAAAAATTAAGATCATTAAAAGTTATGCAAGACTGTAATCTCAAAATAGAGAACTAGAAGTCAAAACTATTAATAGCAGTAGACTTATATACCGCTTCATAGGCCTTTCAGCCCTCTCTAAGCGGTTTACAGAGAGTCAGCATATTGCCCCCAACAATCTGGGNTATTGGCTGCAATCTCAGAGCATTGAGACCGCACAACCATATCGTCGCGACCTTGGCTCCTCCTCCCATATAAATTGCTTTTTAAATCCTCTAGAAAGAGTTTCAAAGTGATTACCTGTGATCCAGTCTTCATACTAGGCAATTTATTTATTTATTGGATCAACTGCATCTGCTTGATTTGCCATAATATGCTAAGTCAAAACCACCAGAATTTATATACTAAAACTGGATAAGCAAAATACATTCTTTTCTCAAATGATGATCAATGTGGTTGTGTATCATCAAAGGCGATGGGTTCAAACAAACCAAACAGCTATCATCATTTCAAAAAATGCAAAGTAGAATGATTATGACATAATTAATAACACAATTATTAACATCTTTATAAAATATTCAAAATGTCTTTATAAAGAGATACTCACTTCAGCACATCATCAAAATAACAAAAAAAAAATATCTTGTTGAAGTACGATTACAAATACCTTCACCAGAAATGAAATATTTAATATTGGCTATGGGTTTCTAATTCTTGGCTGTCTCTCTTAAGCAGGAAAAAAGTCATATCTCTCACAAGAAGACCTTGTTCACTTCCCAGAAGCACATGTTGAAATCCTCTTATGGCTGATTTAATTGAGAATTGACTGAGCAAGTAGTAATGCCCATATTTGGATTTCCTCAAAATCTACAAACTGTAAAGAATCCAAAAGTAAAAGCAGCTACTAAAGTTGTATTTTATGGCCTACCTCAAGATAAGCCAAGGAACAGATCTGAACCGAATCATGAACCGTATTTTTCGGAGTATAAGACCCACTTTTTCCTCAAAAAAAGGCTGAAAATCTAGGTGCGTCTTATACATCGAATACAGCATTTATAGCTGTGCATAGCCTTATGAAGGCTTTCAGAGAGCTCCTGGGGGCTGAGGGGGGCAGAAATAAGCAAAAAATGGGCCGTTCCCCTCCCAGCCTCCGGCAGCACTCAATAAGCCTCCATAAGGCTATGCATGCAGTTTTTTTGACAAACAGGCCCGTTTTTGTGAAAAACTGGCTCTTTTTTGCCCCCCCCCCCCCAAGAACACTCTGCAAGCCTCACCAAGGCTATTCATGCCTTTTATTTGGAAAAAGGGGGCCATTTTCGTGAAAAACGGGCTGTTTTTCGGAGGTTTGCAGAGTGCAAAAACTTTTTTTTTCCTTTTAGAAAGCTCTTTAACTGATGAGAATCACATTGTTCAAGTGCTACGCCAGCAGAAACAAAGTCTTAAGGTTTGTCAG